CCGTGTTCCAGGAGTACTCTCCGGGGGACCCAAACGCTGTCCCCCAGTTTGTGTCTAGGGTGGCTAAAGTACAGCTTTTTCTTCGGGAATTTTTTCCTCCCTGGTCATCTGGGGTCTTAAGACTCTGGAACTCAGGTCTCGGGAGAAATACGGTCCTGACGTCTCTCCCGTGGAAGAATGAGGTAGCTCCCACGCAGAAGTCCAGAGGGGCACGAAAGGGTCCCCCCCCCGCCGGAACCAGGCCCTGAGGCTCAGCCCCCGCTCCTGGGGGCCCCTGGGCACACCAGATGCCTCCTCCGTAAGGTGACACACGTGAGTTCTGCCCGCGTCACAGGCGAGCTGAGGGTTAGTGATGGTACCGTGCGCGTACAGGTGCTTGGCGGGTCCTAGAAATGTGTGCAACGGTGGTGTTTGGAGACGACCCCTCATCTGTGACACACACGAACGGATGCACACGACAGTCTGGCTGTTTTCTATCCAGCACGAAGGTGGCGCCAGCCTGTGCGGGCACCGTGCTGTCGTCACGCCCAGCCTGCAGGCGAGGAAACCGCATAACGACAGCCGGAGTCCCATCCAGGCAGCCGGCCCCGGCCGTACCGCGCCGTGACAGACGGACACGCGTCGTGGAGGCCACCTTTCTCGATCTTTGCAGGACATGCTGGTTTTAGAAGCACTTGGTAGCTGGGCAGTAAGCTGTCCCCCCGAGGCTTATTTTTTCAAAGCGACCAACATCAGTGGCAAAGTAACAGTAACAAGGGACAGGGCCGAGACCGAGGCCCCAGCGCCCTGGTCCTGCTGTGTTCCTGGCGTTGGTACGGTTTGCCTTCTCGCAAGGCCATCTTGCGTTTTGCTGGAAGCGTGCCCGTCTCCTGTGTAACGCGGGGATGACCAGAGCACGCGTGCATTTCTCAAATGGGAACTGGAGTCAAAGTACAGCTTTCCTGGGAAGAAACGAGGCGTCGCTTTTTGGGCCGTGAACGAGAATGTTCTCTCTTGACCAGAAATGTCACGGTCCCAGAGTCGATGGACGGTGTGTTGCCTCCACTCCACCTGTTAGCGCCTCCAAAGCTGCGGGAGCGTTTGGTCTCCCACGCGGAGGTCTTACAGGAACTGCCCGTTGCTTCTACAAACAGCCGAGGCTCAGTATGTCAGAAAAAGAATATTATTTATGATATTACATAGTCAACAAAGAGCAACAAATAAGAAAACGAGGAAAATATTCTGCCGCCCAATCAACTTGCAGACGGAAGGGTTTTCCGAAGAGCCCCGTTCTTGCCAACGTTTGGGCTTTTCAAGGACCGTGAACAGACCCTCAGAAATGAGGTTTCTGTTCTACACGGAGCAGTGGCAGTGAACCACACGGAGGCTTGTTGCTGGTTTCCTCACATAGAGTCTAGCCAGTAGACCCTATGGTGAAACTTTTTTCTCCCCTGTTAAAAGACATTCCAGAAGGTGGGCCCTGTGCGGTCGGTAAATTCTAACGACTGACGTGACTGCATTTGACCCTGTCATAATTTGGAGGTCTGGAGGCGCTGGCCGAGATTCTTTAAAGGCGTCCCACGTTAAGAGGCTGCCAGCGTTTTCCATGAGCCTGGATAGCTTCTGCCCGGGCACGTGTTCTGGGCGGTTTTGCACATCAGCGAGAATGGGGGTTTCATAGCCAGTTTCAAACCCAAGTATCTTTTGACAGGACGTTGATTCTTCCTGTTCAGGCTGCTTCTCGTCTCTGTAGCAGAAAGCAGAATTCTCTTAAAACACATCACCCTGACGGGGACGCAGGCTCCGGGAGAGAGGGAGGCAAGGGCCGGCCGACACCTCCCCCAGAGCGTGAGCCTGAAGTGACCTCCCGGTCCCGTGGCCTGAGTCGGCCTGGGTGTGGGGGGGGGGGG